TATTCATGAAGATAGTTTGGGATCTCTATCCCCACCTTTGTATTCTCTGAGTTGATGGGCTAGGCCCTCTTTCTTATATATAAAAAAAAAAGTAATATTATTTGAGATACTGTTGGGTATTAAATATGAACACTTTTCTTAGTGAAAATTCAAACCTTAGTTTTTTGTGTTGTGAGGGACAAGCTCCTTTCTCTAGACTCAACCTCATTGGTCCACATCATGTGCTTTTTTTTTTCCCTAGGCATATGTATCCTCCAACTAGATTAAAGGCAATTCAATTCGAGACACTGTAGGGAGCTAAATGTGGACACCTTTCGCAACAGCAATTTGCACATTGATTCGTCATGTTATGAGGAAGAAACCCTTTCTGCTAACCCAATCCTGCTAGTCACATCATGTGTTTTTGCAAACGTGAGATATCCTGATTATGACCAATCTGTTGCTATTTTCTGGGCTTAGAAAAAGACCTATGGGCCCATAATACAGACCAATTTTATTCGGAATAACAGGCCTCATATGATTACCTAGCTCCAAATAGACCCAACATGTTGATATATGTATAATATTAGGGAGTGTTTGGCAGCCTTGTCAAAGGGATTTGCATTGGATGCTCATCAGTTTTGATGAGCACCCAATACTCATCAGATCTGGACGGTCCAAATTTATTTTTATTTTTATTTTTTTAAAAATAATTATTTTAATAGGTGTAGGATAAAAATAAAGATAATCTCTTAACTATCATTCTTTAAAAATATAATTTTTTCTATTTTTAAATAATTACTTAAAAATATTAAATCTGGACGGCCCAGATTGCTCATCAGGTGATGAGCACTGAATGCGGACGCCTTGCCAAAGTCACTTTTAGAGCTCAAACCATGGTTTTAGAATTTAGATTGCCAAACACCCCACATTTTTATGAAACCATGGTTTGGCTCCAAAACCATGGTTTGACCCACCCAAACCATGGTTTTATGAAAAGCAAAAACAAGTTGCTTTTGGAAAATGTGGTCCTTTTTTTTTACATTGTAATACTACCTCTAGTCTTTAATATAAAAGTTAGTTAACTAATTTGAGTAGATTAAGAAAATTAGTTAAGTTAGTTATTTGTAATAAATAGATATTATTTTTTCTAAAATACTCTTTCTAATAGGGGTGTTTGGATAAAAACCATAGTTTGGAGAATAGCTTCTGGAGAATAGATTATTGGGAAAATAGATTTTGTGAAGAATAGGTTTTGTGAAAAAGTAATTCTAATAAAATGAGAGTGTTTAGATAGCTGTTATCAGAAGCACCTTTTATATGTGCTAGTTACTAAAAAAAGACATAAATTAATATGATAATTATATAAAAGATGGATTTTATAATATATTTTAATTTGAAGGAATAAAATTTTTAATAATATATTTTTTACCAACATAATTAATAACATATAAGATAATGTAATTAATAATTAATTAATATGTGTATATATATATTATAAAATATAAGATTAAATATGTTTATAAAAAAATAATTGAAGGGTGTTAAAGTCATATTATGGCTGAGATCTACTCTGATAGGTATAATCATACTCTCCAATTTGAGCCAGAAGCAGAATAAATTTACTTTTTCTAAAATTATTGTTTTGAGTCCAAAACCATGATTTGTTAGTTTTGCCTCTTGTTTGGCAACTTTTTCACCCAAACTATGGCTCCAAACCATGGTTTGGGATAGTATCCAAACAGGCTTTATAGAAGTACCATTTGATGAAATATTTAACATGTGTAACTACTACAAGAACTATTTTAAAATAAAATAGATAAATATGAAAAACAAAATAGGTTAGGGTTTTATATTTAGAATCAAATTAAATTTCAAAATAACTCTTATATTAAAAATTAAAAGTAGTATGTTGTTAAAAAAAACTAGCTATAAAAAAATGTTATGCGATTTCATGTTTAAAATATTTAAGAAAAATAATATTTTTCAATTGGCAAAAAAATAATCATTTTTCTAAAAACATATTTAATCTTATATTTTATAAATACATATACACATTAATTATTTATTAATTATATTATTTATTATATTGGCAAAAAAATATATTATTAACAAATTTATTACTTCAAATAAAAATATATTATAAAATCTATCTTTTATGTAATTATCATATTAACATATGTTTTTTTAGTAATTTACATATATGAAAGTGTTTCTGATAACAATTATCCAAATACTTTTATCTTATTAAAATTAATTTTTCACAAAATTTATTCTTCTAAAATCTATTTTTAAAAATTACTTTTTTTTCTAAAAATTATCTGTAAATCATGATTTGGTTTTATCTAAACACCCTATAAATCCCTTGCAACTACCGAAATTAGGTAGAAGCCTGAATCCGGCTTCTGTCCAAAATACTACCTCCGGTCATAATTATAAGAGCCAGTTGACTAGTTTGAGGAGATTAAGGAAGTAGGTTGTGTTAGTTATTTGTCCTAAATATGAGTTGTCTTTCCTAAAATATCCTTACTAATCAAGTATATTAATTAGAATTACAATTATTAGAAAGATTATCTTGGAAAAAATTGAGTAAATATGAGAGACAAAGTGGATTGGGGTCTTATATTTAGAATCAAAATAAAAGTCAAACGGGATCTTATATTAAGAACCGGAGGTAGTATAATCAAGAAGGTGCATTTGTCAGCAGAAGGGGTAGCTAAAGTATAAAGATTTCTGTTATTATTGTTATAGGCTTATAGCCTTTTTTTAGAAGCGAAACGAAAAAACTCCATGTCACATGTAACAGTATGTATGAATTAAAAAAGTCACTTACACTTGTATATATACAAAAAGGAAAAACAACTCACATCAAACTCCTTATATTCATTTTATCAAATTCTCCACATACGTTAAATAGGAAAATAGGAAGAATCCCAATTAAATCTAATTAAAATATTAAAATCCAATTCAACCCTACACTTTTAACAAATTCCTCGTCAGAACATGAGGTCTCATTGAAATTTTTTTTAAGATTGTTAAATGACTAATTAAAAAAAAATTAATTTTCTTACCCCTCCCAAATAGTTCTTCTTCTCTTATGATTATTTTTTAAGACTAAAAAACACATAAATAATTTTATAATATTTAAAGTTTGTATATATAGACAAAATCTTCAAAAATTTTAATCGAATATTTCGAATTACAAGATAAGTACCCTTTAAATAAATATTTTGTATTTTTAGGATTTTAAAATAGGTTTAAAGTATATTCAATACCCTGAAATATTTTCTTAGGTACATCCAATATTTTAAATATTTTGTAATTCATTCAATACTATATAAGTATTTTCTAGGTACGTATAGTATTTTGAAGTTTTTTGTTGTTGTTTTCATGATGAATGTACTAAAAAAATATTTTAGTATGCTAAACGCATCTAAAAAAATACTTTAAGATTTTCAATGCACCAAAAAATATTTCAATATTCTTAAAACGTTATAATCATCTTCTTTAATATCTTTCTTTATATTACCTGTTTAATTATAATTGAAGGAGTATCAATATAGATGATTTAGAAAATATTGATAATTATGAGAAATAAGTTTTCCATTTAGTACAAAAATCAATTTAACAACTACCAACAGGGGGTTGAGTTTGGCGGAAGAGGCTAGTTCTTCACAATATGACTAACTAATGTTCGAATCCCTGTTAGGAGAAGTACTCACATTTAGTACCTGACAGTGCCTCAATTAGGATTATCTCCAATAAGAGGATACCTATGTTTTAGCAAAAAAAATCAATTTAATAATTAAATCATATGTTAAGGACAGGAGGAATATACTCAGAGGAAGAAATTAAAATTATGCATGAAATTTTACCTAATAATTAAATCCTATATTAAGAACAAGAAGAATATACTCATAGAGGAAGAAATTAAAATTATGCATGAAATGTTACCCAACTCTGGTTCTTCTTATAAGTTTCAAATAACTAATTTATGAATAATAACTAATCAGATAAAATTAGTTAAAAATAATAAATAAATTAAAAATATATTTATATTTTTTAATCATATTCTTATAATAAATAAGAAAAAGGATAAAAAAAAATATGATGAGGAGGAAATAATTAAAGTTAGGAGTTAGTTTTCCAAAGTATCCCAATAGTCATTAAATGCTCTGATCCATCGGGAGTTGGACTTCTAGTTTCTCAAGGTAGCTTTTGTGGTTCGTAATTATTTTGGTGACGCGAAGCTCTAACCATCACCCATATTATTTCGGGCAATTTTTTTTCCATTTTTTGATAAATTATTCTGTAGAGTCTTATAATTTTATCTGAATTTTAATTAGGTTCTTACACTTTCAGATCGTCTTATGCGTGATTAAAAAAAGCTAATAAAAAGAAAAATCAATAAAAAAATTAAAAATAAATAAAATTATAAATACTTATGTATTAATCGTCATAATTACTTATTATTCAACAGTATTGGGGTCCAATAATTAGGTGCATCCATTTTCATGACCGACGTCCAAAAGAATCCGCGCATGACCTTCCCTTCGCTTCCCTTCAATTCAAATGCTTTCGCTTACACGTTTTTGATTATTTTGTCTAAAAAAAAAGTTTACATTTTTTAATTTAAGAGATTATGTTCAATCTCGCTTTTTAATGACATTTATTATTATGTTGAGGGTTAAATCAAACTAATATTTTATTATTGACATTTATTATTATGTTGAGGGTTAAATCAAACTAATATTTTATTACTGACCAAACCAAAAATCAAAAGATTACACTGAAAAAGAAATACTTTTTAAATTTAGTTAAATATAATATAAATACAGGGTATAATAAATTTTAGAATAGTTAACTGTAATCATCTTCTTAGTGTTCATATATATATATATGGATTACATAAATTTCAAATTTTAATTGCAATTAATTGTTTTGGGACCTAAAAATTCACTATCACACGTTATCACACCATCACTCAGTTTTTCTTCGTGGTCTTCTTTCTTTCTGCACTTGAAGCTTCTCTGTTTCTCTATTTGGTCTGCGTGCCAAGCAGCCATGGCCAAGCCTCACATCCTGGTTTTTCCATACCCTGCCCAAGGTCATCTTCTTCCTCTTCTCGACTTCACCCACCAGCTAGCTCTCAGAGCCTTCCCTATCACCATCATCGTCACCCCCAAGAACCTCCCTACCCTCCACCCTCTTCTCTCCACCCACCCCACCACCATTCAGACCCTTCTTCTTCCTTTCCCTTCTCACCCCACTCTCCCTCGCGGCGTCGAAAACGTCCAAGATCTCGGCCAACTGGGAAACTCACCCGTCGTCGCTGCTCTCTCCAAGCTTCAAGACCCGATCATCCAGTGGTTCAAGTCCCACCCTTCACCACCTGTGGCCATCATCTCCGACTTCTTCCTCGGCTGGACCCTCAGGATTTCCCGCCATCTGGGAATTCCGAGGATTGCTTTCTACTCTTCTGGTGCGCTCTTGACCTCCATTACTAACATCTGTTGGAAGAATATCGAAGACATTAGAGATCGGAGGGTGGTGGAGTTCTCTGATATCCCCGGGGCACCGTTGTTTAAGCATGAACATCTTCCTGCCATGTTTCTGAAATACAAGGAATCGGAACCTGATTGGGAGATCGTAAAGGAGGGTTACTTATCAAATATGGCGAGTTGGGGTTGCGTCTTCAATAGCTTCCATGATCTCGAAGGCCCGTATTTGGATTATTTAAGGAAGACGCTGGGGCACCGACGGGTTTTCGCAGTGGGGCCGTTGAGCTTGCTCGGACCTGACAATGGCGCAGGTCGGGGCAACCCGAATAATGAGGCCAACTCTGATGTACTCAACTGGCTCAATGGCTGCCCTGATGGTTCTGTGTTGTACGTGTGCTTCGGGAGTCAGAAGTTGCTCAAGAGAGAACAAATGGAGGCTCTGGCATCCGGGTTGGAAAGATCGGAGGCCCGATTTATATGGGTCGTGAAACCCGGAACGACCCAACAAATGGAGGAAGGACACGGCGTGGTGCCAGACGGGTTCGAGGATCGAGTAAAGGGTCGGGGCTTCGTGATAAAGGGTTGGGCGCCCCAGGTGGCAATACTGAGTCACAGAGCGGTTGCCGGGTTTCTGAGTCATTGTGGATGGAACTCGGTATTGGAGGCAATAGTGGCAGGAGTTATGATTCTGGGGTGGCCTATGGATGCCGACCAGTTCGTGAATGCAAAGCTATTGGTGGAGGATAAGGGCGTTGCAGTGAGAGTATGTGAGGGAGCGGACTCGGTGCCCGACCCGGATAACTTGGGTCAGGTTATAAGGATGTCAATAGGTGTGGATAGGCCGGAAAAGGAAAGAGCAAAGCAACTCCGACGTGAAGCCCAAAAATGTGTGAGCAGCGAAGGAAGGTCGTCGAAAGAATTTGATGACCTTGTGGAATCACTGACTCAATTAGATGTCCTCGAATCAAGTAGGCTCGAAATTTGATTAATATAGGAAAAAATAATAAAAATATGTTTTGAAAGAAACGACGTTGAATATTTCTATTATTAATGAATAATATAATTTTGATTTTATAAATCCCTTTAATATTTAGAATGAATTTACGTTGTTCTTTATGCTCACCGACGCTGACCTGCGGGCATTATATCGTTTTTTAATGAAGAAAATTATCCCATGCAAATATTGTTGTTATTGTTAGTGTTTTTTTTTTTTAAACTCATAAGTCGTATACATGTACACCGAAAAAGGTAATTTTCAAATGAAAATAGCAATTGAGAATTGATTACATAAATAATTGATACGCGTTGATCTAACTAAATTTTAAACAATTATATAAATGTTTGTTTGACATAACTTATATAAGTATTTTTAAGGAAGTTTATAGGAGATAAAATTCTTCTTACTTACTTCTCTTATATTTCATAAATTATACTCAAAAAAATTACTTATAAAATATTTTAAACAGGTTGAAAAAAATATAGAATATGCCATTGCTCGCCAACGAGAAAAATGTTGACGTTGACTGGTTTACGCTTGACGGGGCTATATTAGTACAGAAACAAAAGCAAAAAAAGATGCGTGCCAATCTTATCTTCATGTGCGGCTGTCGTATAGCCACGTTCAAAACTGACGAAACGTCGTCGTTTTAGGAGCATCTTCCTTCTGTCCCGATTTTACTGGCGATATGAATATCATGACACTTCAATCCGCTTGTATTTTACTTTTTTTAAAAAAATAGTTTTTATAATGATTATATTTGTTAAATGTTCTATCAAATAATAATTCTAGTTAATTCAAATGTGAATAGTAAAATATTTTAAGAAGGACAATATACGTTAATCCTTAATATAAGATCTCATTTGATTTTTATTTTGATAATAACTATAAGACATTTATTATTTTGTCTCTTAAATTTATTTATTTTTTTAGAGTAATCCTTCTAATAATGATAACTCTAATCCATAAACTTGATTAGTAAGGATATTTTAAGAAAGACAATACATATTTATTATAAATAACTAACTTAACTTATTTTCTTAACCTACTCAAATTACTCAACTAAGTCTTATATTTAAGATCAAAGGTAATACTTATTTATTATAAATAACTATTTTAACAAATTTTTCTAATGCACTCAAATTAGCAAAATAATTGTCATATTAAGAATAAAATGCAAAGAAAGAAACTGAGGTATTAATTAATTTTTCCCAAATTCTCATTAGCCCTTAAATTGCTAGGAAAAGAATCGAGTGATTGGTCAAAGCCCAATCAAGACGGACAAAGAGCACCCCAGAATCATAGCTTTATTGGATAGACATCGACTGATGAAAAATACAGCAAGTGAATAATTGAGTCTTTTACTCATCTTCCTTTTGGTCAACAGCCAAGCGTCTGCGTTCCGCTTTCACCTCTGCATCCTCCTCCGACTGCTCGGCCGAGATATCTCCGATCGTCAGCTTGGGCACCCATGTCGAAATCTCACGTACTCATATTCCCCTACCCAGCACAAGGCCACATCCTCGCCCTCCTCGATCTCAGCCACCAGCTTGCTCTTCGAGGTTTATCCATCACCCTCATCGTCACCCCTAAAAACCTCTCCCTCCTCCACCCTCTCCTTCGTCTTCACCCCGTCGCCGTTCACACTCTTATCCTTCCCTTCCCTTCACACCCCAAAATCCCTCCTGGCGTCGAAAACGTCAGGGAGCTTGGAATGCCGGAAATTACTCCATGATCAACGCTCTCTCCAAGCTTCAAGACCCAATTATCCAGTGGTTCAGGTCCCACCCTTCACCGCCGGTGGCCATTATATCTGACTTCTTCCTCGGCTGGACTCTCAAACTTTCCGTTCATTTGGGAATTCCCAGAATTGCGTTTTACCCAGGGAGTGCTCTGTTGGCCTTAATTATCAACTTTTGCTGGCGAAACACGCAGGCTGTACGGGGTCAGAGAGTAATAGAGTTCTCGGATTTTCCCGGAGCGCCGTCGTTTAAGGAGGAGCATCTTCCTTCTATAGTTCGAAATTACAGGGAATCCGATCCTGATTCAGAGTTCGTCAAGGAGAGTTCTCTTGAGAATATCGTGAGCTGGGGTTGTATTTTCAACAGCTTCCGAGATCTTGAGGGTGAGTATTTGGAATATTTGAGAACAACATTGAAGCACCCTCGGGTCTTTGTGGTAGGTCCATTGAGCTTGATTGGACCCGACAGCGGCGGCGATCAAGCTAACCAGTACCCAGATGAACATTCCGATTTGTTCAACTGGCTCGACGGCTGCCCGGATGGGTCTGTGTTGTATGTGTGCTTCGGGAGTCAAAAGTTTCTGAAACGAGAACAAATGGCAGCCTTAGCAGCCGGGTTGGAACGATCCAATACCCGATTCATATGGGTGGTAAAATCCGGCACGCCACAACAAGTGGAAGAAGGGTACGGCGTTGTGCCAGAGGGGTTTGAGGATCGGGTCTCAGGGCGGGGCTTCGTGATAGGAAGTTGGGTGCCCCAAGTGGCTATACTGAATCACAGAGCCGTCGGCGGGTTTCTGAGTCACTGTGGGTGGAACTCGCTGTCGGAGGCCATAGTAGCCGGAGTCATGATTCTGGGGTGGCCTATGGAGGCTGACCAGTTCGTGAACGCCAAGCTGATGGTGGATGACAAGGGCGTGGGGGCGGTAAGAGTGTGCGAAGGAGCGGACTCAGTACCCGACCCGGGGGAATTGGGTCGGATAGTAGCAAGATCCATGGGTGCAGATAGTGCTGAAAAAGAAAGGACAAAAGCACTGAGGGAGAAAGCTCACAGGAGCGTAAGTGAGGAGGGGAGGTCGGGGAAGGAGTTGGACCAGTTAGTGGAAGCATTAACTCAGCTCAATGCACGATGATGATTACCTACTCAATGCATTTGAAACATAAATGTGGTTCGGTTAGATTAGTATCTAGAAGTATTTTGAAATTTGAAGTGTCCTAAAAATATTAAATATTTTTGCATTCTCAAGTATTTTGTTTGCTTCATATTTTCAGTACCCATCTTTTGTTTTACTCCATCTCTTATTATAAGATCTTTTTAATTAAATTACGTGATTTAAAAAAACAGTTAAAATTAATTAAAAACAATTAATAAGTAGCAAATGTAGTTTTGTTTTTCAATATATCCCTATATATAAATGAATAAATATGAGAGAATAGTAATGAGATAAATGAAAAAAGAAAATGTATTAAATACATTAAATTAGGGGTGAAATAGGTAATACTATATTAAATATTCAGACAAACTCAAAAAGGATCTTATAAAAAGAGATAAACTTATTTAAAAAATTAGATCTTATAATAAATAACGGATAAAATATTGTTATTTGTTAATACCCATCTCTAACACTTTTTAATAATCATTTTGAATTCTTTCCAATAGTCATCTTAAATGCTTTGTAGAAGTACTAAAAGCTGGATAATGAACTTTTAGGGGGGCCCAACAATGAAGTTACAATCACTCTTAAGAAATATTTAGAGCAAAATAGAATTACAATATATTGTAAGATGACGCTGAGTGCATTTAAGAAAAAAAAAAAATACTATGAATCCTAGTATGTTGGACCCACTTAAGAAAGTATTTTAAGGCACCGGATCACGAGCATGAATAAGTAAGTTATTTTGTGGGTGAGATGAGCATTGCGTCTTATCTTCTCATAGAAATGCGACATCATTATGCTGGTGAGGCTTTCTGTTTAGCTTTGTTTTGTTTGTTTATATTTTGTCTTTTTTGGGATTAGGCTGGGAGAAGTTTTTTTTTTTTTTTTTTTGTGGGGGGGGGGGGGTGGTTTGGGGGAACCAGATATACGCAAGAGACTGCTGACTTGAGGAGCGTAAATGGCAGTGTGGCGCATACATGCTCGGAAACTTGAATGGCCAGTGAGCTAGAGAAAGGCCAAAGGAGTGGTGGATCTGCTAAGGGCTGGGGATGTCATAGATCATGTAGTAAGTTCATATTATTATATTATTATTATTATTTTAAGGCAGATTTTTTTACCTTGTTTTTTTTTTTTACTATAACTATCAACTATGTAGATCAGATTTCAGTAATATAAATTGATCTGTGTACTTTTAAAATAATATTATAATAATATTTTATAATGTGTTAAATCTGAAATAATAAAATTTAATTTAATAGTATTTTTTTTGTGGCCAAAACTTAATTTAATAGTAATGAAAGGGGTAAAGAAGAAAGAAAGGCGGGAGTAGCGTAGCTGAATCTGATACCAAATTCAAATACAAAGAAAGGAACTCACGTTGTAGCTGCCACGACAGTATCAAGTTCTATACTTCTACCTATTCCTAGTCATATATCTCAAATTCTCATCAGCTCTTAATTTGTTTTTTAAAATTTGAGTGCTTTGTACAGCACAATCAGTGATGGAAATAGATTCTCTAGCTAAGTGACGTCCAATCAAGCTTTCAATTCTCATTCCTATTCCCAGTTCTTCAGCTCAGTTCTGCCTTCAACTCTGCATTTTCCGCCGGCTCCGTCAATATTTCTCCCATCGCCGGCCTTGAGAAGCCATGTCTAAAACTCACATTCTCATATTTCCTTCCCCAGCACAAGGCCACATCCTCCCGCTCCTCCATTTCAACCGCCGGCTTGCTCTTCGAGGTTTATCCATCACCCTCATCGTCACTCCCAAAAACCTCTCCCTCCTCCAGTCTCTCCTCCGTGCCCAACCCGTCGCCGTTCATACCCTTATCCTTCCCTTCCCTTCACACCCCAAATCCCTCCTGGCGTCGAAAACGTCAGAGAGCTTGGCACTGCCGGAAAATAACACCATGATCAATGCTCTCTCCAAGCTTCAGGACCCAATTATCCAGTGGTTCAACTCGCACCCTTCAACTCCAGTGGCCATCATCTCCGACTTCTTCCTCGGCTGGACCCTCAGGATTTCCCGCCATCTGGGCATTCCGAGGATTATTTTCTACTCTTCTGGGGCGCTCTTCGCCTCCATTAACA